GACCTTGCGTGTCATCCCGGCGCCCTCCAGGTGGTGGCGGTAGCGGCCCGCGAGCTGAGCCGAGCGCGGGAGTTTGCGCAGAAACACGGCGTCCCCAGGGCGTACGGCTCCTACCGGGAGCTGGCCGAGGACCCCAACGTGGGTAAGTGGCGAGGGTGGCGGGGACGCTGGCTCCCGGCTGGCTGCCCTACAGGAAACGTGAGGCTCCCCGGGCTAGGGCCCGAGAGGCACGAGTGGATCTCGTCTGTCGCGGTACTGAACCAAGAGCCAACCTTCCGTAGTAAGAACCAAGCTTAAATTTCTAAAGCCAAGGAATCTACTAGCGAGGGTTTGATTTTACTGTTGTACACGCTGCCCGAGTGGGTACTCTGGTGAGGGTTTAATGAACCCCTGTGAGCCAGGCGCGATAGTTCACGCTTGGAATACCAGCTATTCCAGAGGCTGAGGCAGGAGGGTGGCTTGAGCCCGGGAGTTCAAGGCCAGCCTGGGTGTTGTGTCCAGCGGGGAGAGGTAAGGGGCTAGGGGTCCCCGTAATGACCCTCCACCTCTCTTTGGGTCCTTGATATTGCTCTGGGAAGGAATGAAGTGGGGCTCTTAGCAGAAAATGGGGGAATCGAGTCTGAGCAGAGTGAGTTTATTTTATAAGTGTGGCAAATGACCAGGAAACAGCAGAAATGCTATCTTAACAGAGTGGGGCTTCCAGAAAGAAGTGTGGGGTGTACTTCATACTTAACGGGATAGCTGGTTTCTAAAAATGACTGTTTCGGCATGTGTTCTAGCCCAGTCCGGTCTTCACCTTTGTTTCTGGGAAGGGGACACACTTATCTGGGGTCTTGTTAAACACAAGTAACAAGGAGTAATATTTCTTTCTCTCTCTTTTTTTTTTTTTTTTTTTTTTTTTTTTTTTGGTGCTTGTGAGACAGGCAGCAGAACCACTGAGCTAAATCCCCAGCCAATATTTCTCAAGTACATGGTACACAGAGAAGCATCTGATGATTCTACAATGTTAGTCATCCAGGTTTTGCCCTGGGTTTTTGTTTATGTCCTAATAGGCAACATAGCAAGACCCCAACTCAGAGAAAGGTGGTGTGGTGGAAGACACTTCTTATACCAGAAACAGAATACCAGCAACAGAGGGACAGCAATTATTTAGTTCCTTCCTAAAGGGAGATTAGGGTGTGAGGATTTTGTCCACGGATGGGGGAGGCCTCTGCTTTCAGGCGGGTCCCACAGGTCTGGTATCACCTGACTGCTGACCTTTTCCTTCTTTGATAACTTTATTTATTTATTTATTTATTTATTTATTTATTTATTTTTGAGACAGGATCTCACTATGTAGTTGAGACTGAACTGGAACTCACTATGTAGCCCAGGCTGGTCTCAACTCTCAGTGATCCTCCTGCCTCAGCCTCTGGAGTGCTGGGATTACAGGTGTGCGCCACTACACCCAGCATAACTTCTGTCCCCTGCCCCTGTACCAGGGGTGGAACTCAGAACACAGCACTTGCAAGGCAGGCACGACAGGATCTCACTATGTAGTTGAGACTGAACTGGAACTCACTATGTAGCCCAGGCTGGTCTCAACTCTCAGTGATCCTCCTGCCTCAGCCTCTGGAGTGCTGGGATTACAGGTGTGCGCCACTACACCCAGCATAACTTCTGTCCCCTGCCCCTGTACCAGGGGTGGAACTCAGAACACAGCACTTGCAAGGCAGGCACGATGCCACTGAACTAAATCCCCGCCCCTTCCTTCTTCTATCTTAGAAGTGGCCTACATTGGCACCCAGAACCCTCAGCACAAGGCCGTGGTGCTGATGTGTCTGGCAGCAGGCAAGGCTGTCCTGTGTGAAAAGCCCATGGGTGTGAATGCCGCCGAAGTTCGAGAGATGGTGGCTGAGGCCCGGTCCCGAGGCCTCTTCCTTATGGAGGTGAGGGCCTCATCCAATGTCCGCTGTAGCACTACTTGCCATTTCTAAACATGGCCACCAGCAGACATTTTTGCAAAACCAAGGCACCTCCCCACAATCAAGGTGGCCACAGGAATGGGCCAGGGTCAGGTGGCATATAGTTGAATGTACTGGAAGCACCTACTGCGAGCACAAATCAGTTTTTTTTGGTTTTTTTCCTTACAAACCAAAGTTCATTGCTCGCCATTCTAATAGGCAATGACTCAAGGACAAGTTGTTGAGGCAAAGAGAAAGAGTTATTTGGAAAGCTAGCAAACTAAAGAAGGTGGAAACTGACACTCACCCAGACCACCTTGTTTAGAGGTTGCAGGGACAAGGCTTATCTAGGGAGTTTTGTGGAAGAATATCAGAGAGGAGGGCGCCGAGGCAGTTCCAAATTCCAGAGTAGTTGCAGATTCTGGGGTCTGCTGTTTTCTGTAGGTAACTGGATGCTCTGGGTTCTGTAAATCTAACGAAAGTTGCTGACCCATAAGTACAACATGGAGGGAGGCTGAGATGGGAGGTCAAGTCCTGCCCAGGCAACGGAACAAGGCCCTGTCTTAAACTTTGAAGAAGAGTCAGGATGGATGCAGCCCCGTGGTAGCGTGTGCCTGGTCCATCCCTAGCAAAAGGAAGATAGGGAGGAAGCAAGAAAGGGGGCGAGAGAGCGGAGGAGGAGGAAAGAAAAAAGCAGTTGAGTAGAAAGTCTCACGGTTCATCTTTTTAGTTCCTTTTCCAAGGAACAGCTAATTCTCCAGTATATTTGGATACAAAAGGTAGCTTTTCTGTGGGGAATGGGGTAAGAGAGCAAAACTCAGCTTTTCCCTGGAAGACCAGGGAAGATAAAGAAAAAATTTCCCAAGAACAGAGGACTTGCATTCCCTGGAGAAGTTTGGTTTTGGTACCAGGGATGGAACTTGGGTCCTGTGTGCTTCCCCTGTGGCCTGTGTATCCGCTGCAGGCCCAAGACTCAGTCCACCAAGTTTCTTGTAACAAGAGGTTGATGGCCCAGTGTAATGTGGCTACCGTATATCGCCTCACTGTGCTCCCTGGTGTCAACATTGTGCAGTTCTATTACATCATCATTTTTATTGGCGCTAAGGAAAGGACTTTAAACTGTACTGTATGTGGGTGAAAGGGAGCCACCCAGCAGGGATTTAGGGATGGTTCCCAGTACAGGGCGCAGGTGTAACTTGCCCAGGAAATGTTCCCAATAGCTGGGAGCTGCTGTTAGGCAGTGGAGAGCCATAGAAAGGTACTGAGGAGGAGTTAAGACAGTCAGCGCTCGGGGAAGGAAAGATTTCTCTGGGGCATCTTAAGGGTGGACTACAGGGAACAGTTGAGTGTATTAATTTGCTGGGGCAAGCATGACACAGTGCTATGGACTAAGTGATTTAAATAATAGCAGTGTAAAAATAACAGACGTGGAGGTGCATATCAGTAATTCCAGCACCAGGAAGGCTGAGGCAGGAGGATTGCTTTGAGTTCAAGGCCATCCTGGGCTACATGCATAAATAAATAAAAGCAGTGGACTTTCCTATCAATCCCAGAGGCTAAAAGTGTGAGATCAAGGTGTGGGTATGATTGGAGATAACTGGCTAAGTTTATCTGTGTCTTTTTTCTTTCTTTCTGTTTTTTTTTTTTTTTTTTTTTTTTTTTTTTTTTTTTTTTTTTGGTACCGGGGATCGAAGTCGGGTACTTGTGCTTGTGAGGCAGGCGGTGGAACCACTGAGCCAAATCCCCAGTCCTTCTGTGTCTTCATTTCCTTTTTTTGTTTGCTTTTCTTTTTTGAAGATTAAACCCAAGGCTGGGGCCCAGAGATTTAGCTCAGTGGTTCCACCACCTGCCTCAAAAGTGCAAGGTCCCAAGTTTGATCTCTGCCCTGCCACACAATAAAACCCAAGGCTGAATTATTGAACTTTATTCCAGGCCCACTTTTGCTCTTGAGACAAGGTCTTGCTAAATTGCTCAGGCTGGGTTTGAATTTACAATCCTCCTGCCTCAGCCTCCCAGAGTGCTGGGATTACAGGCCTGCCCCACCACACCCAGTTTAGTTGCCTCTCAGAAGGGCAGGAGTCACATGGAATTAGGGCCCTCATGACTTCATGGTAATTTAATTACCTCTCTGAAAACACTGTTTCCATGCTGTGAACATAGCTCAGTGGAGACCTTGGGTTCAATCCCTAGTAACCCAAACCAAACCAAATCCAAAATAAACAGACAAAAATACCACTGCAGCCAGCTACAGTGGCTCAGCCTATAATCCTAGCACTCAGGAAGCTGAGGCAGGAGGACTGCCATGAGTTAGAACCCAACCAGTGCTAATATTGAGTTCAAGGCCATCCTAGAATACATAGTGTGCATAGTGAAAGAAAGAAAGAAAGAAAGATCCATATTAGTGCAATAGTGCATGCTTATAATCCCTGCTACTCAGGAGGCTGAGGCAGGAAGACTGCATGAGCCAAAAGTTGAAGAGAACCAGGGAGACATAGGGAGACCCCCATCTAAACAAAACACACACAAAACAAAAACCCATCCTACCTCCCAATACCATGACCACTGAAGTCCTGGACTTAAGACTTCCACATCCAAATGGGGCAGGGCCTGTTACCCCGGGAGACTAAGGGTCCTAGGAGGAAGGGCGGGGTCAGGAGGGCTGAGGCTGGAAGGGGAGCCCCCCAAGACCCGGTCCTGATCCTCCTCTTCCACTGTGGCCTGCAGGCGCTCTGGACCCGCTGTTTTCCTGCCACAGAGGCACTGAAGTCGGTTCTGGCCCAGGGAACCCTGGGGGACCTTCGGGTGGCTCGGGCCGAGTTTGGGTTGGACCTGAGCTTCCTGCCCCGGTCCAGAGACTGGGCCCAGGCCGGCGGGGGTTTGCTGGACTGCGGCATCTACTGCGTCCAGTTCATCTCCATGGTCTTCGGCGGGCAGAGGCCTGAGAAGATTTCAGCTGTTGGAAGAATCCATGAGACAGGTGTGGTGAAAAGGTTGGTGTGGCGGGGAGAGGACCGCTCGCTGCCCTGGGGGCCTGAGCTGGGGGAGTCACACTAGAGGGCTGCAGGTCACCTGTGCCCTGGGATGGGGTCCTCTCACAGGAATCATTTATTTGGTTTTGGTTTTGGTACCGGGGATCAAACTTGGGACCTTGCACTTTCAAGGCAGGTGGTAGAACCACTGAGCTAAATCCCTGGCCCCTCACAGGAATTATTGAAGGAATCATCAAGGCACATGGCTGATAAATATACTGGATTGCCCCTGGCATGGTGGCGTATACATCTAACCCTGCACCTTGGGAGGCTGAGGCAGGAGAATTTCAACTCCAAGCCCAGCCTGAGGAACTAAGTGAGAGCTTGTCTCAAAATTAAAATTAAAAAAAGATGAAGCAGGGGGATGAAGATATGCCTCAGTGGGTTCAATTCTCTGTACCACACACAGGTATCATGCTGGCTAGATAAGTGGGTAGATAGATAGATAGATACTGGACTACACTGCAAGACCTTATCTCAAAAAACCAAAAAGCTGAGTGTGGTGGTGCATCTCTGTAATCTCGGCACTTGGGAGGCTGACATGGGAAGACCACAAGTTTGAGTGCAGCCCAGGCAATGCATCAAAATTTTAAAAAATTTAAAAGCCAGACCTGGTGGTGTATACCTGTAATCCCAGCACTCAGGAGGCTGAGGCAGGAGGATTGCTGCCTTCAAGGCCATCCTGGGCTACATAGTCAGTTCAAGGCTACCCTGAATTACATAGTGAGATTCTAGCTCAAAGAAACGAAAAAGAAAAAAAAAATTTAAAGCCTAGGGTTGTCGGGATTTAGCTCAGTGGGGCCGACGCCTGCCAAGCAACTGCAAGGTCCTGAGTTCCATCCCTGGTACCAAAAAAAAAAAGTAAAAAGCCTAGAGTTGTAGCTTAGTGTTGACGTTCTGGGCCCAAACCCTAGTACTGCCAAAAACAAGAAAAAAAGAAAAGAAAAAGGAAATATAAACAAATATTATTTTTTGAAGTTCTTTCAGTTCTGACTTCCAATAGGCAGAACATTCCCAGAATACCAGCTTCCAATAATGAGCTTTTCTCCTCCGTGCCGTGACTAAACATAGACCCTCACATATGTTAGGCAAGTTCTCAACTCCTGGGCTATATGCACAGACCATGATCGTTTAAAAGAAAAAAATGAATCCAAAAATAGCCCTTGAGGGCTGGAGATGTAAGTTCAGTGGCATCACACCTGCCTGGCAAGCACAAAGTTCTGACTTCAAAGCCCGGTATGGGGGGAAAAATAGCTTTTGTTTTCTTGAGACAAGATCTCACTATGTAGTCCAGGCTGGCCTTGAACTTTGGGGGATTCTCCTGAGTCAGCACCGGTATTACAGGTATGAGCCACCGTGCCCAGCCAAAAAATAATCTTAAAAGAACAACAACAACAAAATCAAAACAAATAGGCCAGGTGTGGCGATGTACACCCATCTTCCCAGCACTCTGGAGGCTGAGGCAGGAGGATGGCTGTGAGTTCAAGGCCAACCTGGGCTGCATAATGAGTTTTAAGGTCAGTTTGAACTGCACAGCCAGACACTGCCTCAGGAATATAAATAAAGTAAGATTAAAAAAAAAAAAAAACAAAACCAAATAGCAACCATTTCTGAGCCTTCGATTCTCCGGTTGGCTGTTTGGGCGGGGTTTCTGCCCACAGCTGCAGTTAGGGCAGCCGGGCAGTGAGGTAGGTGGTGGCTTCTATTAGGGACCTCGTTCCCCTTCCCATGGCTTCTCCAGCTGGCCAGCTTGGGTCCCTCAGCGTTGTGGCGTTGGAGGTCCAGCCGCAGCCAGGAGAGGCCAGGCCTGAGTGTGGGAGAACTTTCCCAGCCTCCGCCTGTGTCAAACTGCTTCTGTTGCCACTGGCAAAGTGACTTCACAGCCAGCCCACATTTGAGAGACCGCAGAGCCCGGCTTCACTTCATTCTTATCCTGGCCACCTAAGTGGCGGGTTCTCTGGCCCGACTCGCGGGGGCGGTGGGACCTGAGAGCCAGCCCCAACCTGAGCCTCGTTCCTCCTAGGGGTGGATGACACAGTCACCGTGCTCCTCCAGTACCCGGGCGGTGTCCACGGCAGCTTTACCTGTAGCATCACCTCCCAGCTTGCCAACACCGCCTCCGTGACTGGCACCAAGGGCAGAGCCGAGGTGAGGAGCCTGGGGTCCGAGGTGCAACCCTGATGGGACCCTGAGCCCTGAGAAGAGACTTCTTTTTCTTTGTTTGTTTGTTTTTCAGTTTTTTGAGACAGGGTCTCACTATGTAGTTGAGACTGACCTGGAACTCACTGTGTAGCCCAGGCTGGTCTGGAACACACAGCGATCCTCCTGCCTCAGCCTCCCGAGTGCTGGGATTACAAGCGTGCACCGTGACGCCCAACTCTCTGTTTGGTTTTATGGCACTGGAGTGCTCACTTGGGCAGCACATATACTAAAATTGGTCTTGTGGCACTGGGGTGGAGCCCAAGGCCTCCTGAATGCTAAACTGGTGCCTCTGCCACCCTGATGCACCCCAGCCCAAGAAACCAGTTTTTACCTGGTGTGGTAGTTCACACCTGTAATTCCAGCATTCGGGAAGCTGAGGCAGGAGGATCACTTTGCATATGAGGCCAACCTGGGTTACATAACAAGTTCAAGACCAGCCTGTACTACATAGCAAGACCCTATTTCAAAAAACAAAACAAAACAAAAGAAACCAGAAGAATTTGAGCCTTTCACTGGACTTGTGAGATCTCAACTACTCAGGCCTCAAGACCCAAGAGGAAACAGGGCTGGGTCTCTGTATTTCTGTTTTGGCTTAGTCTCAGGAATACGGCACTTTAGGCTTTCCAGGCCTCAGGCTAAAAAGATCGGGTCTAGCAGAAAAGAAGGTGCAGGGTGTTTTGCACAATCAACCTGGCAGGGTAATTCCTGGAGACGGGAAGATAAGTCCTATCTCTGTAGGCCTAAGAGGTACCTTGGCCTCCAGGGACAGGGTAGACAGAGGGAAAAGACTGGGTTTGAATAGTAGCTTTGCAACCAGGGAGAAGGTAGGACTCAAAACTCCAGAGCCATGCATGGCGACACACATCTGTAATCCTAGCACTCAGGAGGCTGAGGCAGGAGGATCACCACAAGTTCCAGGCCACCCTGGAGCCCATAGTGAGACCATGTCTCAAAAACCAAAATCAAACCAAAGCAAAACCTTTCATAGTGGCTGGGAGGAAACCCTTAGGCACCAGGCACTGCACCCTGCGTGCTGTTAGGGGGATCGCCTAGAGGCCCTATTGGCGAGGACGACAGGACCACTTTTCATACCCTGTCCCCAGCTTAACATTACATGGAGCCCCACAGAGCTGATGGTGAATGGAAAGCGGAAGGAGTTCCCAGTGCTTCTCTGCACAGACAAGACATACAATTTTACCCACTCTGCTGGCATGTGTTTTGAGGCCATGCATGTCCGCGAGTGCTTGCGCAAAGGTAAGGGTGAGGTGGAGACAGGGGCGGGATGAGTCTGGAAGCGGGCGTCGGGCCCCACACCATCCCTCTCCTTCAGGCAGCTGTGTGGGAGGAACTACATCTCCTAGAATGCCCTGGGGCTCCAGTCTCCCCAAAGCCGCAAGCCTATACCCTGTGGGATTCTGGGAACTGTAGTTCTCTGGGTGTCCGGTGTGGGTAGGCAGAATCCTTCACTGTACTCTCCCCCTAGGCCTGAAGGAAAGTCCTGTGATTCCACTGGCCGAGAGTGAGCTCCTTGCTGACATCCTGGAGGAAGTGAGGAAGATCATTGGCCTCACCTTCTCCCAAGACAAGCGCTGATGCCAGTGGAAATGAAGAGGGATGCCTGTGAGTTAGGAGGTTCACCACCTGTTCAAGACCAACCTGAATTATGGAGACCTGATCTCAGAATCAAAAATAAAACCAAACAAAAAGGCTACATACACCATTTTTTTTTCTTTTTGGTTTTTTTGAGACAAGGTCTCACTATGTAGTTGAGACTCACCTGGAACTCATTATGTAGCCCAGGCTGGTGTCAAACTCACAGCGATCCTCCTGCCTCAACTCAAAGTGGCCTGAACAGAGGGTAGGATTCCCCAAGGCTCTGATCCCAGGCCAGGTTTCTGGCCAGGAAGTTTTCTTTGTCCCTGTCACTTTCTGTGGTGCTGGTTTCATAGTGGCAGACTGGTTAAGGGTAGCTGTGACACTGGAGCCAGACAACCAGGGGACCTCAGGCAGGGAACAGAGTGGGGCTAGCAGTGGCACCCAGAAGCCAGGTCCTAAGTCAAGAGGAACCAGTGACACCTTCACCTCAGTTCTCTGTGTCTTCGATGACAGATTTCTAAGACTTGTGGCATTGGAATAGCATAGAGGCAGAGTTGATTGAAAAACAGTGGCTAGGCCAGGTATGGTAGTGCACACCTGTAATCC